TTCCCTACATTTGACTGTACTTAGTCGGTTTCCTATGACTTAAAACTCCACGATCATCTATGAATTTTATGTAAATGAGCCTAAAGTCTATCATATAGATTAGATTCTATATAGTTTGCTTCTGTTACTAATAATTGGTTGGTACAGCAGACTAGTAGCAAACACAACTACAAAATTTGTTGTCACATATTTACCGATCACCGGTTAAAGATACTGGTGGCTTGCTAAATTAACAAAAAAATTCTTTCTCTCAGTGTTTGAGAAAAGCTCGACAAATTTGTAAATTATTTATGAAAAAAAAACGAGACGAAATTTCGTGAAACTTTTCTAAAGATATAATCGGAAATTCTAAAAATTACAAAATAATTTTTTTCCATGAATTTACAACAATGTGTATGTAATTAATATTTCATAACGACATTTTATCATAACTGTAGAATGTCTAAAACGTGCTTTAAATGTCTATTCCTCCGTGAATAAATATATTTTTATGTATTTATTTTTGTTTGTTAAAACTAAAAAGACAAAGTCTAAATATTTTTTATCTCATCATTTTTAATCGTGAACCATCATTAAGTGTCAATAATAATTCTGTCGTAATTGTCAATATCAAAAGGGAGAAATCCTTGCGTTTTTTTCAGCCCAGAGTTCTAAAAATTGTGTGAAAAATATTTCCACAAATTTCGAATGATATAAGAATAATGATTAATAAAATATTTTATCATAACTGACAGAATTTGACGCATTGTATATTCTCTCCATGATTAAATACGTTTCCATGCATTTCTTCCTACTATTTTCACGTTGAAAAAAACAGGGCTTGAATCTCTTCTACCTCATTATTTTTAATTAAAACATGATTAAATGTCAGAATAATCCTATTGTAATTGTTAAACTAATATGCAAAGACAGAAGTCTTCTCTTGCGAAACTTCTCGATTTTTCCACAGGTATCTCGGAATTCTGAAAACTGTATTAAAAATTTGTTTCTAGAAATTTAAAATAATAAATGACATTTTATCATAACTGGTGCAGAATTTGGACTGGTGCGGAATGTAAACATTCTCTCGACGAATAAATACGTTTTTGCACGGAAAGAACGATTTTGCAAAAGAATCGAAAAATTAAGATAAATATAACATATCTGAAAATAATTTTATTCAACCATCCAATTAATTATGTAAAAAACTTAAGCATAATAAGTTGCAAAAAGTTTTAATATTTTAGCAGTCAAATATTATCGTCTTTCATAATTATTTTAATGATTCGATGAAATTATTTTCAGATTCTGTATCTAGCTAAATTTTTAGATATTTCAGCCTGTTCTTCTTGTATTATCCTTATTATTTTTATTCTGAAACGACAAGAAGTAAATCTCATCTATCTCATTATTTTTAAAACATGATTAAAGACAGTAACAATCCTATCATAATTGTTAAACTAATACGCAAAGAAAGAAGTCCCTTGCGACAATTCAATTTCGTTATTAAAATTCTGAAAATTGTTAAACATTTTTTTCCCCATAAATTTTGAATGACATATGACATGGTAATGTAACACTTTATCATTACTGCAGAATTTAAACGAGCTTTATTATACGTTTCTTCAGCGAATAAATTTTTACGTGTTTATTCCTACTGTTTTCAATCTTAAAGGACAGGAACTAATTCTCTACCTCCGTCATTTTTAATCGTGAGGCACGGTTAAACGCTAGTAATAATCCCACCATAATTGTTAAACGTAATATGCAAAGAGAGAACCTCGGTGTAACGAGTTACATCGTTTTACCGTTCATATTACAGCGTGTCTGAAATATTGAAGTGCCCTGGTAACGGCGGCACCGAGAGAGAGAGAGAGAGAGAGAGAGAGAGAGAGAGAGAGAGGAGATCGCGTAAAATCCTTTGAAAGTTCCTGCCCCCGGCGGAATTAGCGTTACTTAAGTAAATTGCGAAAGGGCGGGAAGAATTAAAGTGCGATCGGTTAGGTGAGCAAAAAGGAGAAGGAGGGCATGGAAGGATGGGGAAAAAAAAAGGAGAAAAAGACGGGAGGACGCAGCTCATTAAGCCTCAACTAGATCGAGGCTCCTATTTACGCGAGCTCTTCTGCTGGAGAATGTCCTTGCAGGAATAAAACGACATCACCGTCGTCTTTTGTGCCTGTGAAAATTTTCCTTTTCCTCCCATCTTCTCCTGTTCCCTTCCTTGCTTTTAAAAGGATTAGAATTCGGCGGAATTTTCTACTTTCGAAAGATTTTTTCTTGGAAAATCCTCAATCCCGGATTTCTTGTCTCGTGGAATTCTCATTGGCTGCTTTGAAAAAAATCAGAATGGAACGGATTCACGATTTCGTAACTCCATGAAATCTAAAATTCTACGACCTTAAGATTACCAACGAGAAAAACTAACAGCTGTAATTCGATTTTCCAGATTTGGGATTTTCAGTTCTCTCCTACTTTTGTCTTTAATCGAATTTTTATGAATTCGTTATTATGATTTCATTTCTTATTCTCTCTCTCTCTCTCTCTCTCTCTCTCTCTCTCTCTCTCTCTCTCT